GAATTGCGAGGAGGTGCAGTATTCGAGTCACCTACAGTTTTATGAAGATCCAAGTTACAATCCGGCATTAGCAAGGAGATGGACTAGAGGACCTAACAAGTCCTCCCCCTCTCTAAGGGCTATGACGGCCGCAGCGGAACTGCACAGTAAAAACAGAACTAAAGACAATTTGCCATAACTAAAAACTGCTCGAGTTGCACAGGATTAGCTGGAATGGATTATCTGTCTTCCCTTCACGTGTGGAGGTTGCTAAACACTCAGAACACTGCTGAGAGTAAAAGGAAAGGAAGCCATGACACGCTGAAAATAGATGGGTGAGACACAGGGTGCCATTGCCTAGGAAAGGGGAATGCGCAAGGGTTGACAAGTTCAAACCAGGGGTATTTACAGGGCAAAGAGCTTCTTTGGAAAGGGTATTGATTCCATGCCAGAACAGCACTGGTACCAACTATTAGCGTAACAGCGGAGACTTCATTTAAAATGGAACGGGGCTGATGATAAACACACACTTACGGAAGACCCACTGGGATCAATTATCATTCAGATTTAGGAAAGTTGGTTCAAGTCAGTTACTTCAGGTTTTTAAGACAAGTGAATTTCATGCTGGTGATAGCTGCCAGACTGACATTCCTGGTATTTCGTGCCCTCTCTTTATACGTGGGACAAGTACAGCACGGGAGGGCAGCAGTGCCAATTTCCCCCTTACTGCCAGCGTGTGCCTCAACCCTTACTCCTTCAGGGGTTAGAGGATTTTTTGGCACCATACCAATAGCTGCTGGAGCACCCACAGAAAAAAAAAATAGTGGGTGCTCAGCACCCACCAGCCACAGCTGTTTGGCGAGGCCCCACCAAAATAGGTGATCCATGGGGCACCGCTGATCAGCTGTTTGGCAGCTGCGGGAGAGGCTGGGGAAGGGCAGAGAGTAGCAGGAGGAGAGGGGGTGCTGGGGATGGGGCGGAGTAAGGGTGGGGCCTCAGGCGAAGAGGTGCCATGGGAGCGGGGCTTCAGGGCGGAGCAAGAGTGGAGCACCCCCGTGGAAAAATAAAAGTCAGTGCCTCTGACCCATGCCCACTCAATCATCATTCAATTTCATTTAGTACTTGTATAGCACCCATAGTGTATTGGAACTTTACAGACATGTAGAAGGACATGGTCCCTACCACAAGGAGCATACGACCAAGGTCAACAACTTACCAGTGTAATGAAGTATCTCTCAGGTGAGACTGCCAAACAAGAATGCTGATTAATAACAGTTTGTGATGGTGGTTTTCTGAGGTGGACTTATCTACACTTAGTCCACTAGGAATTGGACACATCACTTAATATACTGTCGGGCTGTGGATCCTCATGTGCCATCCACTTTGCAGAAAAAGCTTAGAAAGGTAATGGTAACCTTGTTGATAGCCTGAGCAAAGAGGCTGACTGAATGAGCTGGAGACTGCACGCCCTTCTCATCTCTAATAACGGTCTCTTCTCACCCGTGCTGAAGCACGTTGTCGGGGCACTGTGAGGGAAGCATGCTCTTTTGACACGGATATCCCTAGAAAGTGAAGTCCTCCATCACATAACGGGGGCAATCTGGCACTTTTTAAAATTCACAACAATGAAAATACATCCATTTTATTGTTACAGATGTACAGGTGTGTCCACTGGGGCATCGCGGGGGTATCCGCCACCCAAAATGGGAAAGGCCTGTCATCGCAGCTAAGTTATTGTACAACGGTGGCAGCTCTCCAGACCCAGCATAGGCACTATGCACTGTGCCTACAATATCTGCAATAAATGCAGCCATGATTATATATTTCTTCAGTCGCTTTGGAAAGGATAAAAACAGAGCTGCAGTCTAAATGCATCCAACAATTGTATGTATGAATCCCTGCAGTCAGTATGTCAATGATTAGGACAGGGCCCGGCTCAATAATCCCACAAGTAAATCTGCCTCTCCAAAACACAAATCCACTGCCAATGCCTCAGTGTGCCAGGGTAAGAGTTCAGCCTTGATTTCAGGTTATAATCGACGAAGTCCCAAATACCCCAGTCTCAAGTTATGTAAGGGTACGTCTACACAGCAAAATAAGACCCGCAGCAGTGGGTATGTCTACACAGCAATTTAAGTCCAGGTTCAAGCCAAACTCCCCTAACATCCACACTTCAAATGTGCTAACCTAGGGCTCAGACCCAGGGGCCCAGGACCCTGCAGGGCCGGAGAGTCTGAGCTCTGTTGGTTCCCTGTATGCCCACGGCCCCAGCAGCCCTCTGGATGTATCCCAGAGTTCCTGGTGGCAGAGGAGCAGCACTGAAGGTAGCCAGTGCAGCAGCCAGAAGCGCCATAACTGTCTGGCCAAACGTAATCCCCCTTCCCGCTCCTCTCACGCCGGTAGCTCTGGCTCCAGCTCCTCCTCATTGTCGTGCAGAGCGTGTCCAGAGCAGGGAGCAAAGCTGAAAGGCAGGAGGCGGCTCCTGGACATCGGGATGTTGGGATCATTCCTCCCCTGGCCATGCTAAACTGGGAGCCCTGCCGCTCCCTCGCCCTGCAGGGCAGCCACTTGGTCCTGCTCCGCTCTCTGGCCTTTGCTCCCAAGCCCCAGAGCCCTCCCTGGGACTGCGTGTGCAGGGGCGACTGGGCTGCATGCACTTTCAGGGCAGCAAGTGGGAACCAGCCCCCAAACTTCCCCACAGCCTCCCAGGGAGCCCTTATCCCTGCTTCCTGGGGTGCAGGAGCACCCAGCGCACAAGCCCTGGGGATGCACTTCACCGTTCTGCAGCCGGCAGCAGCCAGGCTGGGGCGTGTGTGCTTTTCCTCTGAAACCTACATTTTATGCCAAACTTCAAGACAAACAGACAAAAATAAATAGAACAACAAGCAAACCATCTTCGTGGAACGTCTCATTTTAAAAATCAAGAATTGCAAAGTTTCATTTTAATTCTTTGACAGCCCTGGAGACTGACGTCCTCATTACCCTCAGAACCGGTGCACATGGGCATTTCCTGCCGTGACTCAGCCTGGAGCTGGAGAGCTCAATTCTCAGACTACAGCCTTCCCACACTGCACTTATTCTACTGACAGCTACCAAAGGAGTTCATTATGCAGCTTATGTGCTCAGGTGCTTCTGATGGGTCAGAAAATTCTTAACTTAGGGTTAAAATGCAATGTCGATGCTCAAGCCCAGGGGTCCCCGACACAGGACAGCTGACTCGAGTCCCATTAACCACAGGCTTACATTGCTGTGTAGACATAGCCAGTGAGTCTCAAAGCCCAGGTCAACTGACTGCGGCTCACACTGCAGGGCTAAAAATAGCACTGTAGACATGCTTGGGTGCTAAACCCAGTGACGGGGGTCTCAGAACCCAGGTTCCAGCCTGAGCCCGAACATCTACACTGATATTTTTAATCTCACAGCACAAACTCAAAGTCGGCTGATCCAGGCTCCGAGACTTGCTGCTGCGGGTTGTTTTTTTCCCCCACTGCATAGATGTACCCTAACACAGCAACTAGACACCTGCGGTTGGCCTGTGCTGGCCAACTTGGGCTCGAGGACTTAGGCTGAGGGGCTGTTTCATTGCTGTGTAGACTTCTGGGTTCAGGCTGGAGCCTGGGCTCTAGGACCCTGTGAGGTCTAGTTGCTGTGTAGACATACCCTAAGAGACGTTTCTCCCTGTCTGTTCCACCACACCACCTACATTTGTCAGAACTCTTAAATGATGTGCCCTCAGTATGAAGCTGGAAGGAGCTAGACCACAGGGTGTGCTATGGAACTGTTATCAGAAATACGTTTAATGCTAAACCTGACCACTGATAGGGTTATTGTGAATTACCGATATTTCTTAAGCACCACCAACATCCTTGCCAGTGTATGGTTAGATGCACCCGTTTGTCCAGGCTTTTCACTGAGTTTTAAACTCATGGGTTAGGCATCCCTCTCTCAAAATCATTTAAAGTTATGCTGATGCTGGGGGTTGCAGAATATTTACTTTTAACATCAATAAACAAGACTAAGTTCTTTGGGACAGGGATTATATTTTTAACCACGTCAATTCAAGCCATGTAAATTCCACAGTGATGGATGCACTATAAATACCTTCATTAGTAAGGCGAGAAAACATAAATAAATTAGTTCAGGGCAAAAGAGATCTTCACGTGCCTAGTCAGCAGGTACTACCATCACCAATAAGTGCTAATAAGAGAATATGAAAAAAGTAGATCTATGTTGATTCAATCTATAGATTCAACAGAAACCTCTCTCCATATATATATATATATATATATATATATATATATATGTAATTAATGAAAACGTTAGGGATGCTACAAGAAGAAAAGAGAGGATAATGAAGGTGAAGATGATAGATTATTAATGATGTAGATAAGGCCACACAAACATCATGTCTGCAGTGTTATCTGAACTCTGCTACCTACAACCTTTTTTATACCCGGCTGTTATCAGCACAGTTCTAGCAACACTGAGATAGTTTGAACGGTCTCCATGAAGCGTTAAATCCTTGGCCTCGCTCCTGAGACCGGCAACAAGTGGGCCAGTTGTGGTGGGCTTCCCCCTACCCCCATCTCCATGATAAAGAACTAGACAGAGACCCAAAAGCATATTTCACATACAGTGGGTCACTGAACGGACATTTTAACAGCTTATAGTCACTATCAGCCTGCGACAGATTTTAAACCGGTGACCTACACATAAAAAGTTGCCTGAACTAGTCAATCCCAATTATTTTTTTTAAAAAACCTGACTATATTTAATAATTATATACAAATCTAGTTAAAATAGCTATATTTTCCTATTCCCGGATCTCACTTCTGAGACTGAGACAGGTCCTGTACATAAACAGGATGACAGAAACCCCCATCTACAAGATAGAGGGAGGATCCCAACCCTGAAGCAACCCCACCCTAAGTTGGTGCAATTTGCGAATGCTAGAAACAAATGCACACAGATTGCCCAAAGTAGAATAAAAATCTATGTAACTTCTTTTGGGCCAGCTTTACCTCCATGATTGGACTGGATGCAAGGACCTTCTCTTCAATGTTGGTCTCACTGGCAGAGCCACCAACAGATGCGAAGAAGCGCATGGCATATTTGGCAGAGACTGTCTTTCCGGCACCGGATTCTCCGCTTACGATAATGGACTGGTTCTTCTCATCCCTGTGTGTCAGAGGAGAAAGGCTTTTTATAAACTCATCTCCTTGTAAAGCTCTGGGTTGTCTCTCCCACCTTCAACGGCTCTTGCTTTGTGTTTTTGCATCTTCATATGCATCTTAATTTTGTTTTAAGTTTTCCTTATGTGTGTAGATCTAGGATGAATGAAATATTCACGCTACTGAAAAAAGCATGACCGACACAGTATCAGTACCATACATTTCCCAGTTGGAAACTTTAAAAAGTTAATGCTTCTGAGCATCTTAAAACAGAATTCCTTTAATCTTACCACCCACTGCTACAACTACAAAGCACCACTGCCTCTTACTGCAGGGAACTAGCATCCTGGCATTTACCCCCTGGCGCGACAGCACTCCAATAACAATAATCCTGCTGTTTGAGATTCCTCCTATCATCACTCAACAGGATTTTGCTGGATATCAGCCATTGACTACTGTGCTCTTGGTCTCTCCCACCTTTCATTCCTTTCAACAACAGAAACTGATGTTTCATCTAAGCATTCCAACAAACAGAGAACCGGACCCACAACAAGGGTGTCCCTAGCCTCTGTTTGTCAGAGGGTGGAGATGAATGGCAGGAGAGAGATCACTTGATCATCGCCTGTTGGGTTCACTCCCTCTGGGGCACCTGGCATTGGCCACTGTCGGTAGACAGGATACTGGGCTAGATGGACCTTTGGTCTGACCCAGTACGGCCATTCTTATGTTCTTATGTAAGTATGTTAATATGCCCTTTAATTGTGGAACTTTTTGCTGTAGGATACTACTGAGATACAACTTAGTACATTAATAAAAAGAGATTAAACATATGTTGTATACTTCTGCTGATTCAAAACGCTACTATCTGAGCCTCTGCATTATCTGAATCACCCTCCTTATCCCCCAGCATGAGATATGTGCTGCAGAGGGACAAGGAAGGGATTCGGATAATGCAGAGGTTCGGATAAGAGAGCAGAGATCCCTGGCCAGCACTGTGAAGAGGAGGAGGAGGAGAAGCCTTCAGAGGCAGAGGAGGCCACCCTGTTGCTGAATGGCTGCTGCAGCCATGCAGGGAGCGCCCGGCAGCCCCACTGTCGTTGGAGAAAGTGAGAACACCTGTGACAGCAGAGCTGTAGAGGGCGGACATGGGGCTGGTGAAACCTGATCCCTGCAGGAACAAGCTGCAGGCAGAAGAGTCCTGGCTGGGGGTCTCAGCCAGGACTGAGTGTCAGCGGCTCCAGAGCAGCAGAAGGAAATTTTAGCACCAGTATAGAAGGTGTATAAATAACAGAAAATATAAATGGAAGAGACCTGTTAGAAGATCTAGTCCATTCCACTGCCAGTGCGAGATATAGTGCCCGGGGAAAGGACATATTCGGATATCAAACTGGTAACAGTCACTACTATTTAAACCAAAAGGCAGAGAGAAGACATCACATGATGCTGCAACCCCAGCTTCAGAAGGATTCCTTCAGGCCCTCTGCTTGAAATGATCCTGCCACCCTTACTCTGATCTCAAAAACTAACACGATCATGGAATGAAGTGCTACTCATAGGGTTCCCAGGCATCTGGTTTTTTTACTGTAATGTCGGGTCGAAAAGGGACCCTGGAGACTCTGGTCAGCACCACTGACTGGGCCGTTAAGCGGCTGTTGGCGGTGCAGCGGGGCTAAGGCAGGCTCCCTGCCTGCCCTGATTCCACACAGCTCCCGGAAGTGGCCAGCATGTCCCTGCGGCCTCTAGGCGCAGGGGCGATCAGGGAGGCTCCGCATGCTGCCCACGCCCACAGGCGCCGGCTCTGCAGCTCCCATTGGCCGGGAACCACAGCCAATGGGAGCTGTAGGGGCGGCGCCTGTGGGCACGGCAGTGCACACTGCGCAGAGCCGCCTGGCTACCCCTGCAACTAGGAGCCGGACATGCCGGCCGCTTCTGGGAGCTGCGCAAAGCCAGGGCAGGCAGGGAGTCTGCCTTAGCCCCGCTGTACTACCAACTGGGAGCCGACGGAGGTGGGAGCTGACGAAGGTAAGAGTCGCTTTGCTGGAGCCCAAACCCCCACCTGCATCTTCCCCAGGTTGGAACCCCTTCTGGAGCACGCACCCCATCCCTCCTCCTGCACCCCAACCCCCTGTCCCAGACCTGAGCCCCCTCCCACATCCAAACTTCTTCCCAGAGCCCGCACCCCATGCAACCCCTCCTGCAACCCAATCCCCTGCCCCAGCCCTGAGCCCCCTCCTGCACCCCAAACCCGTCATCGCTGGCCCCACCCCAGAGCCCACACCCCCAGCTGGAGCCCGCACTCCCTCCCACACTCCACCACCTGCCCCAGCTTTAATCCCACTCCTGCACCCAAACTCCTTCCCAGAGCCCGCACCCCACGCAACCCCTCCCGCAACCCAACCCCTCAGCTCCAACCTGGAGTCCCCTCCTGCACCCCAAACCCCTTATCCCTGGCCCCACCCCAGAGCCCGTACCCCCAGCCAGTGCACTTGCACCCGCCTGCACCCCTGCCGCATACCCCAGCCCAGTGAAAGTGAGTGAGCATGGGGGAGTGCGAGTGACAGGGAGAGGGGATGGAGGGCGGGGCCTCAGAGAAGGGGCAGGGCCTTGGGGAAGAGGCGGGGCAGGGAGGGTGTTCAGTTTTGTGCCATTAGAGAGTTGGCAACCCTAGCTACTCAGTTTGCATAAGAGTGATGGAATCAGGACCGTCACGTGAAATCTTGGCCCCACTGGGAGTTTTGCCATTAGATGTCACCAACGGGGCCAGGATTTCAGCATCACAAACCCAGGAACATCCAAGCTATTTCGGGAAGCCACGGGCACATTACATGCCAAAGGTTTTGTAGAACATTAAATTTACTACATAGTACATAGCAAATACCCTCATCTGACTTTCAGGCTGAATTTCCATTCAATGTAAAATACAAAAACCAACCAAACAATCCACTCTACGTTAATGCAACGTTCAGGTACCTCAGTCAAGCACTCAGCCATCAGGCAATGCCTAAGTAATATTTACATACATGGCTTTAACTTCATCCCCTTTGTGTGTATGCATTTCCCTTTGGGAGAAGATTCTTACTCCAAATTTACACCAGTGTAACTGGGATCAGGATCTGGGACACAATCTTTTCATCCATGATTACGTAACATTACAGCAATATTACTACACACTAGTAGGTCTCACCACTTTCCTGGTAAAGTGCATATTCTTTACTTTTTCCAAACTCAGAGAAGCTGGATGGAATTTGATAAAAAAAATCTTTGAACAGAGATCAAGCATAGAAACTTTCAGCACTAAAAGCAACTTTTAGAAAGAGTGAGCCGCTGAAAACAGAGGGGCTCTAATGGAAACTATTTTGCAACTAACTCTAGCAGCTACCACCAGACACCACGAGACTTTAGAGAGAGGAATCCCAAGATACTCTTTATCTAGCTACCTGGGCAGCTTGATCAGATTGCTTAAAGAACATTAGCCAGTGTGGATTCCAGGTCACATCTACATGGTCTCCGTGTATGGGACAGTTAATTAAGTAGAGTGAAGTACAGTGCCTGGAAACTGTGTGATCTCACCCAAGCAGCACACAGTTCAGAGCGAATCAGTGTTCCAATGCATTCCCAAGGACGGAACAGGTCACATCTAGATTATGAATTGCTAGTGCATAGCTACCTGCTCTCCGGACTTCTTGCTGAGTCAACACCAAGCCCTTCCTGTAAATATGAATGGCTCCCAAGGACAGGGTGAGGTGCTATTAGACAACATATTGATCTCTCACTTCTGGACTCCCTAGTATGGTGCACTGTGAAATGAGCTAGAGGAAGCACTGACTTGAGAGGAGCCCACCAAGTAACAGCAGTACCACATTGAACACCTAATAAAAGGAACTGGTAACTATTGCTAGCTCCAGGCACAGAGAGAAGGTACCCAATAAATATGACAAGCAGCACTGTTTAGTTGACGGCCATAATAGTGGCATCCCCGGAGCAAATTGAGGAAGTGATTTAAAGCCGCTAAGGAGGGAAGCACTGCAGTTAAACTGGTGAAAAGATCCATGAGGGTTGTTATGCTAAGCTTGCTAAAGAACTATTTGCTGGGTTTCCTGTGGAGAGTAATTTGCCACATATAGCATGAAATCAACAGGATCAACACCTATATGTGGAAAGAAAGAAGTGTATTCTCATATGCAAAAGGGAAAGACAGAAAGCAAAAGGCTCTGGAATTTGCCCCAAAGTGCAGATGAACAGATTACCCCTTGCTGGGTGAGGGAGAAGAAATGGAAAAAAGAGGTCACATACATAATACATTGATCTGCACTGCTTCTCCTGGATTTTTCCCCTCCTAATGGAAAAGCGTCTCCCTCTGCCAATAAATTCACAAGTAAAGACAGACAAGAATGATTCAGACTAAGGCCAGAAGGGGACTATCATGATCTAGTCGGACCTCTGCACATTGCAGGCCACTAAACCTCACCCACCTACTCCTGTAATAGACCCCTAACCTCTGGCTGAGTTACTGAAGTGCTCAAATCATGATTTAAAGACTTCAAGTTACAGAGAATCCACCATTAACTCTAGTTTAAACCTGCAAGTGACCCGTGGCCCCACACTGCAGAGGAAGGCGAAAAACCCCCAGAGTCTCTGCCAATCTGACCCAGGAGAAAATTCCTTCCCAATCCCAAATATAGTGAGTATGTGAACAAGACCCACCAGCCAACTGGGAAAGAATGCTCTGTAGTAATTCAGAGCCTTCCCCATCTAGTGTTCCATCGCCAACCATTGGAGATATTTACTACTAGCAGTCGCAGATCAGTCCTGATACTGCGTCAGGAAAATCAGACCTCATGAGCTCAGTGGCGTGTATATAGATGATGTAAAAATCATGTTCAAGCAGCCTGATCAAGGATAAATAATAATTTAACATAAGAGGATGACTGCAGCTGACAAATCCCCACGCCATTCTAAATATCTTGTTGCACCCACAAGGACTGTCACGTAAGACATGGCACACCT